TTAAAATATTTTTATTTAATATAGTTAAAAAATAAATATATTAAAAATATTTTAAATATACGAAAAACCACCAAACACGAAAGTTTCTATATCGTTTACGTTAAATGTGAATATATAAGTTAACATGAAGCCATGTTAAAAGTGCTTTTAATGGGTATAAGCTTCAGGTCTAGTTTCTCTTCAAATCACCATTAATGGCATTGTTTATGTGTCCTAGCACGTGATTTGCTCAATCTTTAATTCAGATTGCTTCACGCATAGATTTACCAAATTTGTTAAATTTTATATTTTAAAATAAAGAGTTACCAAATTTGTTAGATTTTATATTTAAAAGCAATTGATTACATGAACTATTTAAGAAGGTAGAGAGCATAAATTATCGCAATTATCAGTTTTATAATGGCGATATCAAGTGCCTATGTTTGTTTCTTGCTTCTTTTCACAACTTTTGTCAGCCTCATTAGCAGTCATAATCTGCCTGAAAATCATGTTGCTCTGTTCATCTTTGGTGATTCGTTGTTCGATCCCGGAAATAACAATTATATCAACACCGCCACTGATTTCCAGGCAAATTTCATTCCTTATGGTGAGACCTTCAAATACCCTACCGGCAGATTCTCCAATGGCCGTCTGATCCCAGATTTTATTGGTAAACCACTTCAAAAAAAATTGAGTTTCGATTTGTCATTCGGTTCATTTCTCACCATTTTACAGCTCAGTTTGCTGGGTTACCAATAATTCCAGCATATTTAAAGCCCGAGAAGCATAAGTTTACAGATGGGGTGAATTTCGCATCTGGTGGAGCCGGTGCTCTTGTCGAATCTCATCAAGGATTTGTATGTCATATTGGTTTATCATCTTAAATGTTCTGTTAAGCTATATTCAGTTCATACTTAAATGGAATTCTTGGTATTTTAAACGCCAGGTCGTGGACCTAGAAACTCAGATAAGATACTTCAAGAAAGTTGAGAAATCATTGAGAAGAGAGGTAGGAGATGCAAAGGCCAAGAAATTATTGTCTAGAGCTGTTTACTTGATTAGCGTTGGGGGCAATGATTACTTGACCAAAAACTCAACTGCCTCAGACGAAGAGTTCGCTTCCATGGTGCTCGGCAACCTCACCGTCGCTCTCAAAGTAATCCATACTTAAAAAAACTAACTTGTCTCTGTTCCACTCATTTCCACAAGTTTGCTTAAAAATCCTTTTTTTTTTTTTTTGTTAACATTGATGCAGGAAATATACAAGAAAGGAGGGAGGAAATTTGGGTTCCCAAACCTGATACAGCTGGGTTGTTTACCGTACATGAAAGCAAAATCAGAGGGTTCTTGCAACCATGAAGCGACAGCAATAGCAGAGCTTCACAATGCTCTACTTCCCAAAACCCTGGACAAGTTAAAGGAGGAGCTTCAAGGCTTCAAATATGCTCTTTACAATATATATCAATCTTTTTCTCAAAGGTTGAACGACCCTTCAAAATATGGTAATGTTAAATCGCTGTCTTTGTTTTTTTTTTTTTTTCCTTTCTTCTTGCACGAGCAATTAAACAAGGGTCCATTTCATGGGTTTATTTATTGTGTGAAGGTTTCAAGAATGCGACGACGGCGTGTTGTGGGTCTGATTTGTACGGCGGAGTTTATAGCTGTGGAGGGAAGAGAGGGGTAACGGAGTATGATTTGTGTGATAATCCAGCTGATTTCTTCTTCTTTGATTGGAGAAGGCTTACCGCCAATTTGCAGACTTAATGTGGGCTGGAACTACAGATATCGTACGGCCATACAATCTCAAAACGCTATTTGAACACAAAGCATCATCGATTCATCATTCCTATGTCGAGCTTTAATCTCTCAAATAAATTTCATGTTCCAAAGGAATAAACCAAAAACTATTTTGGCGAAATGTCTTGTTTTAGATACGAAAAATGGTTGATAGCATCTCATCTATGAGACGATGGGATCATGTGATTGTTACTTGGCTTTTTATCAAAATAAGATGGACACAACAAATACATAGAAAATTGTAGCAGCCTAGAAACAGGACTAGGAATGATTTTAATTTTATTTTGCTTTTTTATTTTAATTATACGTTTCAAATGGGTTGGAATAGTTGTGTAAAAAATAATTGGATTGAAACGGAATCCGATATAGATTAAATTTTTAATCTATTAGATTTAAAATAGTTTTATGGGTAAACTACATAAATGACCACATAACTAAGGGTCGGGTTGTGAAATAACCACCATTTTCGAATTTGTGTCAATATAATCACTGAGCTATTTAAGTAGTTTAAATATAGTCATCTACCGTTAACATTTAAAGGGAGTGTTTATGTGGCAGTTAATAAAATTTGTATAATTAGAGCATGGGTCCTTGTAAAGTTAAGTATTCATAGCGTTGGCACCTTGCTTTGTTTTCTTCCATTTTGGCCAGTACTTGTATATAATTTGTTTCCTTGGGTTTTCATTTAATACAATTTGATCCTGATTCTTTTTTTAATTTGTCTAATTCCTTAATTTTTATAATTAAAGTAATATTGGTGATCAAATTGATTAATTATAAAATCTAGGGGATTTAATCTATAAATTTAATACATGACTATAACAAAATATTTTAAAGTTAGTGCTCAAATTCATGCATTAGACAAATTAAAAACATAATCAGGATCAAAATGCATTAAATGTAAATCCAAAGAAACAAATCATATACAAGTAGTTACCAAAATGGAAGAAAACAACGCAGGGTGCCAACTCCGCGAAATACGTAACTTTACAAGAACTCGAACCCTAATTATATCAATTTTATTAACTGCCACGTAAACACTTCAGTTACATGTTAACGGTAGGTGGCTATATTAAAACCATTTAAATAATTCAGTGGTCGTATTGACGCAAATTAAAAAAATGAGTCATTTTTGCAACCCACCTTTAGTTATGTGGTCATTTATGTAATTTACCCTAGTTTTATCTATATTTAATACAATGATATCGTATGTAAATTATTTAAAACTTTTTATTTGATGAAAGCGTTGATGGGCACACAAGATCTTACAATAATAGTTGCTATTGGTTTACAAACCCAGGAAAACTTTGTTAAGCTTATTTTACAACTCTTTCTTCTTTCTTATATAACAACACACTACAAATTATATTTATATAGGTTCATTACACCAATTTGATAAGGTTTTTAGTTACTACCCAAGTCTTTATTAAATGCCAAAACATATATACATATTTAACATGTGATTTCTACATCAATTCAAGTCGCTCATCTAATTATTAAACTATCAAATTTGATTAGATATTATCTTATCTTCATATCATTTTGGTCTTGTTTGGTGTAGCTTTTTAAACATCGTTTTAGTTAAAAAGTCTATTTTGAAATGGTGGTTTCAAACCAACTGCAAAAGCTAGAATTTGTAGTTTTTTAATTTTCAAATTTACGTTTGGAAGCAAATTATAATTTTACCCTTATTAATGTATGAGCTTCACTCAATTATGTATTTACATTTTATTTTAATAATTTAATATTAACATCCTTAAAAAATAATTTATTATTTAATAATTTATTTTAATTATTTAAAAGTAAATAGAACTCATGGCTTATATATTGAAATATTAATAAAACATTTTATATCCATGTCTTAAAAATTATTGATAATATATTTTTTAGTAAAATATAAAAATATTATTAATGAGTTATCTTAAAATATTTTTATATTTTTATTATAGTTTAAGTGATATATTTTATATATCATAGTATTAATAAGTGTAAATATAATTTAAAATTTATATTTTTAATTTACAACATAATTTCTATAATGGACATTTTATTTTTTTCAAACTCACTTTTTAACAACAATCTCAAACACTTAAATTTTAAATTATACTTCTAAAAGCACTTTTAAAAAGCTCTTTTCTACCATACTTTTAAAAGTTACTTTTCAAAATTCATGTCTAACTTACCCTTTATCTTATCTTCATACTATCAAATTTAACTAGATCTTATTTTATTCATCAAAATTTCATGAATATTCTAGTCCATTTTGAGTTCTAACATCTTTTATCTTCTATTCATCTCTTTCTTGTAGTTCTCTCTCATGCCTTTTCTATTTTTTTCTTCATTATCTTTCACAAAATGACAAATTGAGGGACTAACTTGATGAAACAAATTGATTTTACATTAGATACGAGGTATGGAACATATGAAAAGATAATTGAGGTGTTTAATGAAATGCCTCAAAGAGATATATTTCTCGATCGTGGGGCCATGAGTTCTTTGGATGAAGTTGATTATGTGGCAACTAAAGTCATAACTGTTTTCACAACTAATACCGGTTTGGATACTTTTATTCTTGACTTATGTGTTCATTGATCTGTTCTCAAACTAAGTTTTAGGGACAATGCGAAAGTAAATAATAGGTGTGTAGAAGCGGTTGATTTTGTAGTTAATGAGAAGTTTATCAAGTGATTTTTTTATTACTTAATTTCTCTCTTCGTCCAGGCTGCATTCTTCATCGGCTTCCCCCCCCCCTGCTTCAGTTTCATGTACGGCATTTGGGAAATCTGGACGAGTCAACTTGCAAAAACTCTGTTTTCATTGTATTTTGCTCGGGCCGGGATGGGTTTTAAGCTTGAATTTAGGGGCAATTAAAACTTCAAAATTATTCGAGGCAGGGCAGGTTCGGATACATGTTTTGTATCTCGGGCCAGGTAACTAAAAATCCGTCTCATTGACATCCCTAGAGCTAATGTCATGGGTCAACACCAGCTTAGAAAGAAAACAAGAAACAGAAAAACACAAGAAAAATAAGCCAATTACAGAGAAAAAAAACCACTACTCATCAAATACAGAAGGAAATCGTCACCAAAATTTCAAAAGTTCCAACGTCGGGAGACGGGGAGAGTTCTAGCAGAAAAGGTAAAATGGTGATTTCTCCCATGGTAGGTCCTTAAAATTAGTAACAAGAATAAAAGAGAAGATTATTTAAATTGTTATACAAGTTAAAAACACTCGCCCCTTTCTTCTTCCATCTATTATCAGAGGGTTGAAACTTGAAAACAACAAAAATGAAGAATATAAAGATCCTCTAGGAAATCCCCAGATTGTGATTTTATTCACCACCTACATGTTTAATTTCCGTAACTGGAATGGTCCAGATATAAATCACTTCTGGTCTGTATAAACCGCGTCAACATCATCAAGTTCAAGCAATTTAGACATAAGTTCCTTGTTCAAGTCCATAGCCTCATCATCCACCTGAAACCAACATATCAATGGCGGCGCCATTGCAATAAGCAAGATGCTGAAACAAGGTGATTAGGAAATCAAGTGTGGTAAGCATTCAGCACATCGTTGGGTCAACATCAGCCATGTACAAGGCAAAAGATCCTGGTTTAGAAGAAATCAAAGGGCAGATCACAGATCTTATCAACATTACAGAAAAAAGTACCTCAATGGTGCTTAGTGGAATCAGCTCAGAACCATTATCAGTTTCAAAATTTATTCCTTCCTCACGTAGCTTTGAAAGTATTGTTCCATAATTTTCTGCTGAGCTTACAATCTTGTAATAGCTACATGGAGAAATCATGTTAGACTTTACCCACTCCAACTAGCAAAACAACTTACATGTTTGAGAAAAGAAAATGGGATTGATTTGTAACAGATCATTGACAACCATATACGTGGACTTACTAAAGCATACAGATTTGATAATTGATAACCAAGATATGTGCAACGTATTAGTAGAATCGTGATCCTTCATTATATGTCCAGATTTTTTTATCGTCCAGAACAATCAAAAATATCCAGTCAGAAAAGAGAACGAAGTCTCAACTTTTTTATGCAAACAATAATTAATTCCTCTAAAATTATGTAGAGAAGTATGGAATGAGTTTATGCCCTGTATTAAAAAAATTGAAAATCAAAAGAAGCCGAAAAAGATGCAGTAAGTATGAAAAGGAGAAAGTAATTAAGAATTCAGTTTAAAACTGAAGGAGCATTACCTCTCTGATCTATCCTCGTCAGTATCATCTTCATATATGGGAGGCTCAATAACATCCTCAGCTCCAGCATCTAAAGCAATATCAAGGAGCTGGTCTTTGTCAGCATCAGTGAATTTAATATTCACAACACGAACACGCCTAAACTTGAACATAACGGAACCAGGATCTGCCATCTTTGCTCCACAGTCCTTGACTACCTCCCTAACAGCTGCAACTGATCGAGTTATTTTATCTGTTAAGACCTCTACTACCATGCTAACTCCACCATAACCATATACCTGAAAGAAGCAGTATTATTGAAGAGTTAAGAAAACCCAATCTTGTATACCATCAAAGCATCTAAATACAAGAATACCCTCGATGGCTATCACTACAGCAACAAATCTATAAATAAAAGTAGACCATAGAGAGACGTCAACCTCATAAACTTTCTCAATGTAAGCCTCTTGCCCTTTTTCTAAAGCTCTCTTGATATTGCGTTCCAAAATTTCTTTGGGTATATCAAGCTCCTTGGCCTTCTCAATTACAGCTGCAAGAACTGTATTTGATGCTGGATTTGCACCGCCTCGCTTTATACTGTAGTGCATAAAGCATCAAACTCATGAGATTCAGTCTCCATAAAGAAATGTATAGAAACTGGACAAAGTAATATAACTAAATGGTAAAATATGATATAAGAACTTCCAGCAATTAACAAATATAATCAATTTTCAATGCTCCTTTTTGGCATTGATGTAGAAAATCAAGCAAGGACTATGAGCTACCAACTTACGCAGATACAATTTCTTTTCCAATCTTTGAGTGAACTTTAGCCTTCTTTGCATCTTGAGTACCCTGAGATTAAGTAGAACACTAGTGTAAAAATCACTTCATTGATTGTGAATTTCTGACCACATATATAAGAGGTAAAGACATATTTCAATTCCATGCTAAAACAAGTACGCGTGGTATTTAACTATTTCAATTTCATAAATTACAATTGAGTTTGTCTTCTGTTAGGACTTTCATCAAACAGGTAGCATCCAAATCTAAAGAAGCTATATTCATTCAGAGGGAATTTAATAAATAAGACAAAAGAGACCTTTCTGCCGGCAATCTTGGAAGAGCGCCTCCCCATGCAGAGAGGAGGAAAAGTGGAGATGCTTCGTAATTGATGCTCATCGCTGCTAGTATTAACTTGATACAATACTGAAGTTGACGATGAAATTGAGGAAACTGATGCTAATAATTTCCTATTGCTTTTTAAGAGGCCATATCGAGAAACAATCAAGGAAGTCGAGGGAACCCCATTTGTGAATCTGTGGAGAACAGCACCGAGGGCTCTCAAGGTTGAAGATGATCCCATCTTTTATTTGCTTTACTGATGTGGGGTTTGGTTTTGTTTTGGGTTTCTTATCAAATGGTAGAGAAGCACAGTGTTGCTCTGCGCTTCCTTGGACAACGAACTGATAGCTTGGACCTTGGTCGCATATACGAGGCCTTATGTCTTAGTCCTTTACCTATTACAGTATGGCACAAAACGGGCCAAAAATTCCAAAACATTATTTTTACAGTGATCACTTTGCTTTTTCTGACCCTGTTTTGGCATGGAAATTTAACCTAAGAAATTCGGTAAAACGTTGTTAAATTGTTCCGTTTAAACTTTACCAAACGTAATAGGCCTTCTAAATCAGTGTTTATTATTTGGTAGAACCAATATGGCATTGGAATGAAAGTGACACGCCATTTTCAAGTGTCAACCATTAACTTGTGTTTATTATTTGGTTAAATGAACATGGAAGAAAAAGTATGAGGAAAATGTGTCATAATCCTCAAATGAAAAGTAAAGGAAAAACCTTTACATCCACAACATTAAGAGAAGAAGAAAAAAAAGGTTGAAACTTGAATAAGAAATCATGTCCGGTAGTACTTTATTTCCAATCACAAAACACCCTACTTTTGCTTTTCCATCGAATGATGTCTCCAGCTTCCTCCACCAACAATCTTGAACAACATCAATACCTTGCCTTCACCAATAATCATAAAAGGCAACATGAAGAACGGAAGATGGAGTATATTGCTAAGGAACTTGTGAAAAATATCAGGTTTATAAATTTGTTCTTAAATAATTTGTGACAAAATCATGAAGCACTAACCTTGGTTTGATACAAATTCTATCCTACAAAAGGCTTTTTCAAGTACCCTTGTGTTGTCGTTCAACGCCGGTGCAATTGACAAAACATGCTGATATGCACTTGCATTGCCATTGGAATCCACATTCTGAGTCCTTTGTCGAGTACAATGTCCCTCAGTGACTGGCATCTGACCGCAATATTCAAATCATCCATACAAATATTGTGACAAGAAGCCAACACAAGGTACTCCAGTGATTCATGGTTCCCGAATGCTCTAACACCAACTCAGGTAACCAACTCACAACCTGTTAAATCAATAGCCACCAAGTTCACACAATGTTTAGCAATTGCATTAACTGTGACATCCGATAAGTTGATCAGCCAAGCCAAATTCAACTTCTTGAGACTCAAAAGCGAAGAAACCGCGAGTCCACCGGAATATGTTATCTTTGGCCCGCATTCAGCTAAATTTAGCTCCTCCAAACAACACATGTGCTTCAACATCGACACCCCAGAATCAGTAATTCGATCACACTCAGCAAGGACCAGTTTTTTCAACGATCTTGAGATGAACCCAGTTGCTAAAACAGCCAATCCATGGTCAGTAATCAATGAACAAGCTTCCAAATTCAAAACCCGAATGGAATTGGAACACCCGATTGCTTCAACAGCTTGGTCATCCACCAAATTACACCTTCCTAAATCCAGAGAGGTCAAATTCTTGCAGAAACTAACGAGGGAAATAACAGCAATATTGCCTACATTTCTTCTCTTTCGCAACAAAGCTTTCGTTAGATTTCGGCACCCATTAGCCAGAGCGCTAACCCCATCATTCCCAACATCTTCAAAGCCGGAAATCCCATCAACTTCATCAAATTCTTCAAGTGCTTTCCTAAGATTAAGGTTAAGGACTCGGAGCCTGGGACATGTTTTGGCCACGAATTCAAGGTGGGGATCGGAGATAAAAATCTGGGTTTCAAAGAAAGAAGATTTGGGAATCTGGGCATGAAACTGGGGAGGAGATCGGGCTCAAGAACCCGAAGGGATAATCGGGATAAACCTTCCACCCGCAGCCATTGTTTGCAGACTTGAGAGAAGGATTTCCTGTCGTTTTGATCATAAACCCATTTGAGAACTAAGCTTAACTCGTCGTCACCCAGTCTCGACATGAAGATAACAAAATCGTAACTCTTCGAGTTTTTCTATGAATTGAACGGGTAGAACCCAGACAAAAACAACAACCAATACCCAAAAAAAACTACTCGAAGACAAAAGCTATGTAGACTGCAAGAGTATGCGTCTGGCACCCACTCATTTCAAATATGGTGGTTTATATGAGAACCACCCATTTCCCAAATTTAATACTTCTTTAATGAGAAAATCAGATATGAAATCTTCCTTAAAATTTAAAAATAAAATCAGAAGCGGTATGACTTAGCTGACTTCCTCGCCCATATAGGGCAAACATTTCCCCATGTAGCCCTACTCAAATTATTTTTTGTACTTTGATGTTTATTACAATGACTTTATTGGTCACTAACTATATCATAGATCGTCAAATATTTTTTACGATAAAGTATTTTCTGTTACAGTAATTCTTCTTTTTTTCCTTGTTATTGTAACTCCATAGATCGTCGTGTGCTCCTGAAGACCTATAGATGTCGTCATGTGTTCCTAAAGATCTATGATGGTCACTGTAGCAATCACCCTACTTAAATAAATAATTATTCGATTGCACTATGTGAAGAATTTTTTTTTCAATTGATTTATTCAAACACTTTTGCCAGCTTAACTTAACACTATTTTCTATCTTAAATTCTTTTTTCCTCACAATATGTTTAATTTTTTACCTTCAAAATAGAATAACATTACTTATGGTAGAATTTATTTTCCTTAAAAATGATTTTCATCAAATAATAATATTTAAAAAAAAGTTTATCAAAGACCACCGGATATTTATTAACTACTGTATCCGTAAAAGATTGCGTGGATTGGTCGGCAAAGAAGGAGAAGAAGAAGCAGGAGCAAAATGCATGTTGTCCTTTGGTAACCATATTATTTCTTGGGTGCGTTTGGTTTACGGAATGTAAGATTATCAGTGGGAATAAAAGATTACCAGGGAATAAGATTACTGGGAATATTGTATTTTGTGTTTGGTTGGTTTAGCAGGAATGTAAAATTACCGTGTTTGGTTAAAGAAATAAAAGATTATTAGAATATATATTTGACCAATTTGTCCTTATTATATATTTGTATAATAATACAAATTGTAAAATATTTATATATTTTTTAAAAAAAAATTAAATTCATAATATTTATATAATTTTTTTACAAAATTAAAAATATAAAAAAGGTTTAATGAAAGGGTAAAATTTTTTTAACCCCTGAACTTCATATAAAATTTTAATTATAGATTTTTTTGTAAATCTAAAATAATTTAAGGATAAATTTTTAATTTAACCTTCGTAGAATTTTTATTATTCAATGATAGAAGAATGATATTTTTGAAAAATAAAATAAAAAAATTAAGGGCATTTTAGTCCAAAACGCCGGTAATGTTACAATACCTAAGGGAAGAGAGGTAATGACATTCCCGGTAATATACCACAAAAAATCTACTATTGGTAATAAAACATTACCGGGAATGAGATTCCCGACCAACCAAACATGGGAATGTGGGATTCCCATCCCATGAGAATTCCACATTCCTTGAACCAAACACCCCCTTAGTATTGGAGATCTGACTCAGCTACATCAAATCATTAACAAACTCTGTTATATAAAGTAATGGGTAGTTCTGCGGTGCGGCGTCTAAAAAACGACTAATATACGGCGTGACCGGTAAAACAATTGACCGGTTAAAATTTATACCGGTTATGTTATATTATTTAACCGGAAATATTATAAAGTACAATAACATACTAGGTAGCACTTATATAATGTAATAGGTAGCGCTCATATTTACTTATTTTATAAGTAAACCGGTATATTTATACCGATAGTATTGTAAATTTACCTATTACATTATATTATATTGAAAGTGTCCATACTTTTTATAAAAATGATCGATACTTCTTTTAAAGTTATGTAATTTATGTTTCAATTTTTTTTAATAGTGTTTCATGTTTTCCACCTACAATATTAATTTAATAATTTCATTTGCACAAAAAATTATTTGATTTTTGATATTTTATAAAATATTATTTAGAATTTTTAATTTAATAATAATATATATCGTAACGTAAAAAATAAATCATTAGACGCCTATAATTACTAAATTAATATCTTAAAACTCACTCAAAAGATAACTTTAAATTTATGTTTTCCACAGTGAAAAAAGTATGGACACTTTTATAAAAAGGATAGACACTTTACAATATAACCACTACCTATTACATTATATAAACGATACCTATTACATTATATAAGCGCTACCTATTACATCATATTTTTACCTATTATATTGAAAGTGTCCATACTTTTTATAAAAAGGATCGATACTTCTTTTAAAGTTATGTAATTTATGTTTCAATTTTTTTAATAGTGTTTCATGTTTTCCACCTACAATATTAATTTAATAATTTCATTTGCACAAAAAATTATTTGATTATTTGATATTTTATAAAATATTATTTAGAATTTTTAATTTAACAACATTAACCAAAGATAATAATAAATATGTAATATATATGTTTATTGTTTTTAATTTAATAATAATATATACAACATCAAACACATTCCAAGCTATAAATTACAAGCTAAGGACACTTGAAGAAGCAAGAGAACAACTATCCAAGCAATCAAAAACGAGAAAATCCCAACATGATAACAACTGAACATATCATATCAATGTTCAAACTCAAGTTATAGATTTTGATTTCCTTTTGCTTGGCATCATATGAGATTTGAATTTTGATTTCCTTTTGCTTGGCACCATATGAGCTTTGGATTTTGATGAGCATCGGAAGTATTTCGGACTTATGATTTGGGTGGTACTCATAAGCATTTCGGACTTATGATTTTAGTTGCTATTTGTTTACCACCCAGATCATACGCCCGAAACGTTTCTGACGCTTTAAAGTTGACCAATAAATACAATGGTCGGGATTTCCCTCGCGTTTAAACGTTGGAAAAAAACAATGAAAATTAGGAATAATCAATGATAACATGCATATTGGCTTGGGCTAATATTTATAGTGGAGCCGAAATATATATTGAAATTCAAACTCAAATTGAAATTTAAATTCAAACTCCAATTACATATGAAATGAATTTGAAATGCAGTGTTAAATTGAACATGAAAATTGCATAATTGATTCATACTGTTCAAGTAAC